ACAGACAGAACATTTTACCATTGACATTAGTAGAACAAAATCTTAAAACAATCCAAAATGTAAATTGTCTATAAATAGCTCAAAAAGAGATAATTTTTTTTTGAAACGAAGTTTTTTAATTGGGGCTCGTCGGGAAAAAACGTTCTTGACGAAATACTATTTTTTATAATATTATATTAAACATTTATTTTAGCCAAAACATCCAATTTTCACTCCATCATACTGATCGATCTAGTAATGCGTTAATACTTTTTAAAACAGATTTGAATTCTTTATTATGTCTACTTGAGATTGGTCAGTTCATTTTTCCCAATTTCACCCCCGCAAGCTCTAAAAATTTAGCTTGAATGTTTTGAATTTTCGGAATTTTCATACGTTGATTATTCTGGATTTATTCGGAATTTAAAGCAGAAATCTTAAAATGTGAACTGACCGATCTCTAATAGAAATTCTTACGAATTCAGATCAGTTTTCAGAAATTTTATCGAGTTATTAGATCGATTGTTATGATGGAACAAAAAAAAAACGGGAGTGGTAAGTTGTAGTGACGGTCCGCGATTGATTATAATTATTTATAATTTATAAATATCTTGCGTATATTGATAATATATCACTACAGTTTAGTACTACACCGCGTATATTATGAACATAGATATATACAACAAGTAGATAGCCGTCTTTATACTACAGTTGTCAGTAGCGTATCCAGAATTTTTTTTCGGGAGGGGTTATAATTTATTTTTGTGGAATTTTATCTTAAAATGATTTATTAATGATAACGTTGTTATAATTTAACAATTTTCGGGGGGGTTACAACCCCCAAACCCCCCCCTGGATACGCCACTGACAGTTGTGACCAATGTTGAAATCGGCCACCATTTATAAAGCAGGAAATGTTTACATTTATTTTATATTTATTTATATACATATTATATATTTATCTATACAGTATACAATATACATAATGTATACTACGATAATATTATTATTTTGTAAACATAGCCTGCCTCGTAAATGGCGGCCGATTTCGATGACAAGAAAGAGACGGCTATCTAGATGTTGTATATATCTATGATTATGTATTTATAATTATTATAATTGAGACACTTATAAGAACAAGGGCCCAATTCGAACTTTCAATTTTTTTCAGGAGACAAAAAAAACTTATTCAGTTAAAAATTATTAGTATGATCACAAATTTTGAATTGTCTTCATATTTAATACCTTCAAGTCTATAATTTTTTTCAGTTAGAAGTTATTTTGAATATTTCAGTAAGTCAAAGTATTTGTTTGAAAATTGTAAATTTGGGCCTTTGTTGAAAAATGACTAATTGGGCCCTTGTTCTTATAAGTGTCTCAATTAATAAAATACATAACTAATAACTAATAAGTATAATATATTTAATATATATTCAATAAGTATTGAATTGTACGTAATATATTTTTATCACGCCTGCACTGAAAATTTGGTTGTCACACCTGTACCGAAAATTTGGTTTTCGACCGCGGTTGAAGCGTTAAAGGTTGCGTTTAGGTTGCTTCATTTTTCCGTCCAGCGGGCAGTAAAGCGGAAATCCTCAAAAATGCTGGGCCTGTATATATCACACGTATTCCATGCACAACCAGACATTGAAATCCATACCACGGTCTTTACAAAACATAAACTTTTGGATACATCTTATAAATATATTATAATCTCCTTGCATGACGCGTAAACATTTTTATTTCATGAAATTGTTTTCGTAGAATAATCTGATTGTTGCATATTATATCCCTATATAGTGCCTTTACCTTTACCGTGGTTACATTTTTTTGTGCGTCGCGTTTGGTATAGACTAGGTAATAGAAAACGGGTATACCGCGAGAATTTTTAACAGCGTAATAAGATCTGTATATTATGCATTTATAATTATTTTAATTTATAAATTATAAAAATTTGTTGACTTTAACATCAATTTTAATGATAAGAAATCGGAAACTTTTAAAACTTTCCTTATGGACTCATTCAATTTACATACGATACACAATCCAACAGAATCTTCAACGAGACATGACACCACTATCGATGCAGTATTTTCAAGATATATGGAAAAAATTACATCACAAACATACATATCATAATATTTCAGTTATCACAGGTCTGTAATTTCGATTATTGAATATGATTAATATAATAGTAATTAAATAGTAATAATAATCATTTTAATTTTCATTTATTTTTCACATTTACTTAAATACCTACATTTACTTATTGATATTTACTTTTATTTTGAAACGTTCCACTAATATGTATTTGTAATCTATAATATTTGTTGGAAAAGAAACTTCGTTTCTACCGGGTGTCTCATGACAGCACTCACTTATTTTTAAATTATACCATGTATAGTAAACGATAATATAAATATTTAGTGAAAATTTCAAGTATCTAAAGTTTTTTGTTTTTGAATTACAACAAAATATCAAAAATCATTTGATGAGAAATAGTTATTTTACCATTCAGTATCCAATACCGTAATAATTTGAACTTCAAATGCTCATAAAAAACTGTCTTTCCGTTAAACGTTTTTTTTTTTACTGTAGGTAAAAAACTTATGTTTTTGCTTTTAAAAACTAATGGGAATTTTACACTTAAGACACCCCCCCCTCAAAGTATCAACTAGATTCACTTTCTAACCAGAAAAAAATCGCTGAAGTTAAAAATCGGAGGGTTTCCATCCACAACAAATAACATTTATCATTTTAAAATTAATACATTAATCGCACCTCTCAGAATCTAAAAGTATCTAAGTACAAGATACAAGTTACTTAAGTTATATTATTTAAGTTGTATTACTCTGTACTCAGTTAATGTTCAGTTCTGTATATTGTATATATTATTATACACCTATTAAATATTTAAACCTACCTAATGGCTAATTATAGTGTATTAAATATTCAAATAAAATTTAAAAAATTAGGTTTATTCGGGTACAAAGCCTTAGCCGTACTGAGTTAATTGAAGAATGAATGTATTGATATATCTAGGTACAATTTTTCATCACTCGTATTTACTTTCTCAATTTTACTTTTTTTTAGGTGGAAATAAACTTATACGTATTTAGTATATTGTATTATTTATATTTTACTCTAGTATAATAGTCTACACTCTACAATTTAACCCTAAATAAAGAATTTTGATTTAAAGCATGTAAATTTAGTGATTTAATTATCTGCTGCTCTCTTTCATGTAGTGTTGATAATATTATCTTGATTGAAAACATTACATTAATAAAGTAAAAACCATTTTTATAGAAAAATTTAGCCGTAAAATTTGAGTCCAAATATTTAATTATTGGTTTTTAGTTATACACTGTAAAAATAATAAAACAATTGAAACAATCCAAACTTTTATCATTATTTTATTGTTAATTTGAAAGTTTTGATATATTTATGTAATTGTGCATTTGTCACATCAAATTTTATTTAGGTGTCCCTTTAAAACGTTTCAAAATATTCAAGATTTTTATTCTAGTCTTATAAATACGAACTGGTTTATTGATATAGATGGAGTAATAAAAATAAATCAATACTATTAAACTTATACAGAATATTGATGTGATTCAACTTTCCAATTACCCAATAAAAGAATAAGTTTTAACAATTTTTTAAATTGTAAGGCATTGCTTTTACTATATACATTAATTATTATATTTAAATTTTAGTTTTTTTACTTCGATATATATTATAATTTTTTTATATTATGTATATATATTAATCTACAGATCAGTTGTAGATATAATATTATGGTTCAGTAGGTAAGTAGACAAAGGGTTATTTTTTTTTAATCGATCTGTTTAATATGATTGTGAATATTACAATTGATGTATGCGGTCGTAAACCAAAGATACATGCTTTGTATTGTATACCTATGTGTGCATGTGTATTTATGTCTAATAGCTTATATGGTAGATCTTTATTTATTATATGGAATTAACTACTTAGAGTATAAATAAAAATGTATATAAATTTAAAAGTAGGGACAACAGTGTTGTATTATGCATTTATTCGTAGGTTATTGAAAACAAAAAACCAAAGGACTTTTTATTGTATAAAATAATTTAATCGGGTGTTAGGGGAATCCAATACCTGTCACAAAATAATTTAACGCGATAAACTCGAGTAATAATGTTTTAAATTAAAAATTAAATATATTTTACAAATATAAATTTATTGTTGGTATTATAGTTGTACCAAATTATACCGATGAGTCTAATTTATATTTTTAAAAAATCTATTTACGTAGCTTATGTTTGAACAGAACTTGAATGTCCTCCGGAATAAGGTGTTAATATTATGTATTTTTACAGGATTGAAATAGTTTTTATTATAATTTTTTACTTTTTTTTTAAACGCAATTCATCGTCCGCAGGGACTGCGGGTCCCCTTTTGTGTTTACCCGTACCTGTATATAAGACAAATGTGAAATGAATCATCGCGTTTCACGGAATACTCAACTTAGGGGCAATTTTTATAACGTCCGACCCGTGACTCATTAATGCCCGTGGTTTTTATTTTTCCCCGTCAAGTTCGATGGCCAGTCGTCATCAAACCGCACGCACATGGCAGTGAATCATGTGGAGCCCGCGCGCGGTCCCCACCAAACGGTTTTAGACACATGAAAATATTCGGTTCACATGCACTACGCACACACACATACACACTTACACACACTTACACACTTACACACACACACGCACGAGCCTCTTGTGTAGAAGAAGTAACAATACCGAAGCGACTGCCAAATGGCCCAGTTGCTTCCATGTGGTTTTGACTTTACGATGTACTGCCGCGCTCGCGTCCACGATTTTTGAATTCAATGTGTGATGCTATAAGACCTATGTCCGGAAAATATTATTTTTTCGAATCGAAGTGACCATAGTGCGGCATAGTTGTGTATTGTAAATATTATTGTAATCATTAATAATAATTATTCGATTTAAAACGAAAATGAACGTTAAAAGATGAAGTGGTTACTGTTGATTTTGTTCATCGCGCCAACTGTATACGAAATCAGAGGTAAATAATTTAAATAATTTAAAAACAACATTTTTATTTTTATATGGGAATGAGTTTTAATTTAAAACAAGACTCAGTACAAATATAAACATTACTACGGTTTAATATAATTTTTACATTAAAAAAATGAATAAGGTATACATATTTTCAAACGGAAGTAAACACTGTATTTAAGTGATTACCACCTACCTTATGTATTTAATATTTATCCAAATTAATTGAATTCATAAAAAAAAAAAAAAAAAAGTTTCATGTTTCATCGAAATACTATTATACAATATAAAAGTGCTTTAATAGTGCATAGTGCCATAGTACCTATAGTGTCTTAGTTATAAATTAATAATGTTTCATAAGTTGAATTTTAAATTAATTACTTTTAAAATTTGATAAAAAGTTTAAAAAAAAATAATAAGATTTTTTAGTTAGGTAAATTTACGGGAATAAAAATGAGCCATCAAATTGGCGTAACAACATTTTGTAGTATTTTAAAACTATTAAAACTTATACAGCTTTAAAGAAGTTTTGTGAGAAGCATGAATTGTATATTATATTGTTTGTATTCACATGAGTTATTGGGTCTGAAGTGGGTCAAATACATTATAATAAGTTTTGAGTGGTATGAACACTTTGAGTTCAAAGTAAGCAAGAGTAAATCATTCAAAATTATAGACACGAAAGTAAGATTTTTCAATTTTTCTAGTTTGAATCCAAGCTTGAAATATAAGCAGAAAACCATAATATATATATATTATACATATAACTTGTGTAGTTTATTAGCCAGTTGTAATGAATGGACCATGAACATTAGCCAAACATTTGGGTTACAAAAGCCAAATATTAATTAATATTTTCTCAGAGCTTTTTCATTTTATTGTACGGATGTCGCAAGTCGTTAGTTTGTTGCCATAATTTTTCTTTTGTAAAGCTATATCACACAGCTACAAACTATCATTGAGGGTTCGTGAATGTTTAAATTTGATTTGCAATCCAGAAATAACGTGTTGTAAACATAGTAATATAAAATAGTTACAATTATTGTCGATGGACCACACAGATTTTAATTAATTACTTAAATAATTAGATAAATGGTGTAGAAAATTGTATGGTTTTCTAATTAGGCATTAGAAACCCGTAACATTTTTATTTTATTTAATTAATTGTTTAGTTTTCAAAAATTAAAATGGATCTTACAGATTTTGATAACTTTTACCATGCGTTAAATACGTTTATGTTTAAATAAGTGTATCAAATATACAAAATGAGCTAGGTAATGGAGTTCTTATTTTGAAAGCACCAATACGGGGTAGGTAGGTATAGACGTATAATAGGTAACATTGGACATCACACATTGCCACTGTGGCTCTATATAAGGACGTACTATGTATTTGTATTTTAATTTTATATTATTATGATGTGAAATCAAATAATTGTTTTATATTAAATTAATAATAATAATAATAATAATTAATTTCAACTTCTTCATAATACCTAATATTTACATTTAAAGTTGATACCTACTGTCTATAAGCAAAAGCAATAGCTTGTGGTAAGAGGAGGGAGTCTGTTACAACATTCATTAATTAATTATACACAATTTTACGGTACACATAAGAAAAATTGTACCTATAAGATTACTTTTGCTTCCATACATACAATTTTGTTATACATGATGACTATTGTAGTGTGTTGTCCAAATTGTAATGCCGCTTAATGTGTGCTACATCTTCTGAAGTTGTGTGTTAATTATTTATTAAAAACACGTTCCAAGTACTATAAACAATAGTTTGGTTTAAATCCCTTGGAGCCTTTAAAAGTAACCACATTGACTAACCTATAGTACCTAATGCTCTTAATATTAATATTATATTGGACACGTTGTAGTATAACACTATAACTGTCACAAATAAAATATATATATTTTATTATTTATAAGTAATTTTGTCTTATACGTTTTCTGTTAGAAATCTATATACTAAGTACTAAGCACTAACTACCGACGTGGGTTTTTTTTAATTTAATAGTAATTTATTACAAATCATTTCAAACACGAAACACCCATTGTTGAAATAACAGTAGGTACCTAATGTAACTTTTAATATAGAAATATCGTGTTACAAGAAATTATAGTAGTTCATGCGCATAGTCTGGTTGATTCCCCTAAAACTACTTAGCATTAAATGGTGATTACAAACACTTTTTTTAATAGGGGTAAAGCATTAGATATAACTTATAGTGTCTTAGTCATACGCATAAACAATATTATAACAAAAACGGAAATAGTAATTTTGTAGAGACGCGACTTCCTGTAAAATATCGTTTTGTTAACATTATTATTTATGCATTATAACCTAGAAGTATATTATAAAAATTAATTGATTTAAATGAAATATAGGAATTTTAGGGTAGCGATATAAGTATAGTTGTCGTACCTATATAGTACTTAATATTTATTTTATATTAAACCCGTCCTCATCTGTTCAGTAATAAAGTAGATACCTACCTATAAATATCTGTGAAGTTATTATCTGCTGAATTGTATATTATAAAAGTTAATACATTTATAATATTATTGTATTTTATACATCGAGACTCACAACGTTGAGATTTTATAGAAATGTATAACGCTATGTTACAAAAGACTATGATTATGAAAACAACTATTAATTATAAAAGTATATAGGGAAAGTAGTACTTACTAGCTTAAAATTAATATTATACTATTTAATGAAATCCAATTCGTACAAATTGATATTACTTAATATTAAGTGATTAGGGTAGAGTAGATTTATAATATGTACTACCTAATATTAATATATAAAACCGGAAGACTTTATATGTTTGAACTCTCCAATCTCAGAAACTACTCGACCGATTTCAATAAAAGTTATATTAATAGATTTCTCGAGATTGGGTGGATGTTTTAAGCTTAATTTTTCAACCTATATAGGTTGATCCCCGTTTGAAAGTACATATCTATAAACAATATAACGTAGATTGCTCATATCGGTCGAATTAATTCACAAAGCGAGATACACTGATGATGGACTTGGGCCAGTGAACTGAGGTACACTAGAACCGAACATCGAGATACATAGAGATATACGTAACTCTTATTTACCTGGATGAAGTCGGGTTTTATAGCTAGTATCATATTATAAAATAAATAAAATTGGTTCAGACGATTTAGTAATGTATAAAATTCTTAAATGTAACAATGTATCTTGAGGTGTTGGATTAAAAATATCATTAACATTGATATAATATATTGATGACAACAATGTTTGCAATCATCAATATAAAGTATTGGTATAACCATGGCAACAGATTCGTGAGTCCGTGACTGATAATATTTTTTTACGAAGGTTAGGTTAGGTTGGAAATTGAATTACTAATACAAGAATGGAATTTGAAATAACTGAAAGTGCGATGGTGTAGATAGTAATAGGTGTTCGTATTATAATCGTATTATAGAATAATATAGTATAGGTAGTATATTATGCAGTGAACTCGGTTTATAAATAATAATTTAACACTTACAAATATTATATTTAATTACAAACAAATGCGGTATAATATCTTTCAAGTTGGGCGATGGTTGTGATGGCACTACACTACCATTATGGTGTAGTGCATCTGTTTTCACACCTATTTGCACATGTGTTTACCCCTTTGCCCTTGCACCGTTCCCGTCTATATGGCTTTGGAATTTCTTCGTATAGATTTGTGGCAAGAAGCTATATAGGAAAAATATTCTACTTAAACCTCTATCCAGGGAAAAGTACAGACTATTTTGTACATTTTTTCAATTGTAAATTAATTTTTTTGTGTTAGCTCTCCGCATATCCAACGGTTTTTTTCGCTTTTAACACCGTTTCATTCCTACACGCTTCCGATTTAAAAAGGGATTCCTGACCTCGTGACCGTCCACAGAAATGCGTTGGTTCTTTTTTTACAACAATCTATATAATACTACAGTTGCGACGTGTACCATCGCCGTTCGTGCTTCGACGTTTAAGTATAATAATATACTTCGTATAAATACTCATAGGATTTCTGTTATTGCCCATTGTTTGGTTTTTATCTATGTTCACGTTAGTAGTCAATACCACCAAATGTAATATCATATAGTAAAATCTATACCTATAGCCAATACTTCCTCTCGAACAACTTACTGTGAGGGGTGAGTGGGGCCACTTTACGATTTATATTTATTCACGAAAAATATCTTATAATATTATGACAACGAACGCGCTAGTATTTATATAATATATTTTTTCTATACCTGTTTTTCGTATGTATACACTACACACCCTAATCATATATTTATACGTTTTCGATTTTCTAAATTTGGTTATCTTGGATTTGTACTTGAAACCGAGATGCGATCATATTTTAAGGATTGTAGCTAGCTGGCGCCTGGCTATGTGTATAATACCAATTTTGGTAAAAATCCACTTGTCTTTTGTTTATGTGTTTATTGCAGACTATAAAGATATAGTATTCCTTAATATTTTAAAAATATATGCATATGATCAATAGTAGCAACAATATTGGTTGTATTTATGTGGGAACAATATTTGAATGGGTTATTTAAAAAGTAAATTTATTTGTCTTAGAATAATTGGATATTTAATGTTTAATAGATTTTGATATTGCCATAATAAAAATCAAACAAATATTAATAAAATTTTTGATTTTGTGTTTATGATGATCAGTAAAGTTGTCCCCAATATTCTCTTCATAGGCCCCTCATACGCGTGCTTTCCTACGATGCCATTTTTAGAATTCCATCATCTATAAATATTTCGTTGGCCGGACAACAACAACTGCTAATGTTTCTTGCTCGGTGTATAAATTAGAGTTATTTTTTACGGTCCAATCATCAAATAACTTACAATCAACTGCTTCCTGTCAATCATTTGCACATGGTACTGTAATAATCAACACACGGAAGAATCAAAAACCTAATCTAAATTAGGTATTTTTCATTTTTTTTACAC